AGGCGGTGCGTGGGAGGGAGGCGGGGTGGTGAGGTCAGGCGGGGGCGTGGAAACGAGTGGTGTGAAGGATGGCAGGGTGAAAGGAATGACGGGTATTGGAGGAGGCGGAGGCTGGGAGGAGGCGGGTGGGAGGAGGCGGGGTGGGAGGAGGCGGGGGTGGAGGGCCAGAGGAGGGAGGAGCGGGCGACGGGGGTGGGAGGAGGCGGGTGGGGGGGCAGGGGTGGGGGAGCGGGTCGGTGGGAGAGCGGGGTTGAGAGGAGGCGGGACGGAGGAGAAGGACGGAGTGGGAATGGGAGGGGAGGGGGGGTGGGATGAGGCGGGATGGGGAGGACGCCGGGTGTGGAGGATGTCGGGGTGCGAAGGAGGCGGGTGGGAGGAGCGGGTGGGAGGAGGCGGGGTCTGGAGGAGGCAGGGTGGAGGAAGGCGGGTGTGAGGACGGGCGCGGGTGTGTGAGGAGGCGGTGGTGTGAGGAACGGTGTGGAGGGGCGGGGTTGGGAGGGAGACGGGGTGGGAGGAGGCGGACGGTGGTGAGGAGGTGGGGTGGGCAGGAGGACGGGGGATGAAAGAGGGCGGTGAGAGAGGCGGGCAGGAGGAGGCGGGTGGGAGAGGCCTGGGTGGAGGAGGCGGGTGGGAGGAGGCGGGTGGAAGGAGGGTGGGTGGGAGGAGCGGGGTTGGAAGGAGAGCGGCGGAGTGGGAGGAGACGGAGTGTGGGAGGGAGGCGGGGCAGTGAGGAGCGGGGGTGGGAGGAGCGGGGGTGGGAGGAGGCGGTGTTGTGAGGAGGCGGGGAGCGTTGAGGAGACGGGTGGGACGGAGACGGGGGCGGTGGATGAGGGAGACGGGGTGGGCCGGAGGAGCGGCCGGGGTGGAGACGGTGGGGTGGGAGGGAGGCGGCATTCGCGGTGTGCAGGTAGACGGAGGTGGAGAGGCGGGGTGGGGAGGAGACGGGGCGGGAGGAGGCCGGGGTGGGAGGGGGTGCGGGTGAGGAGGAGGCGGGGTGGGAGGAGGCGGGGTGGGAGGAGACGGGGTGGAGGGAGGCGGGGTGGGAAGGAGGCGGGATGTGAGGAGACGGCGGTGGGGAGGGAGGCGGGTGGGAGGAGGGCGGGATGGGAGGAGGTGAGGTGGGAGGAGGCGGGGTGAGAGGAGGTGGGGTGGGAGGAGGCGGGGTGAGAGGAAGCGGGGTGAAAGGAAGCGGGGTGAAAGGAGGCGGGGTGGGAGGAGGCGGGGTGGGAGGAGGCGGGGTGGGAGGAGGCGGGGTGGACACGCGTGTGTATTCGTCGGACAATGCGTGCGTGCGTGCGTGCACGCGGGCGTGCAGGCGCATCCGTGTGTGTTTGCGCGCGTGTGTGTGTGTGTGTGTGCGTGCGTGCGTGTTTGCGCGCGTGTGCGTTTGCGCGCGTGTGCGTTTGCGCGCGTGTGTGTTTGCGCGCGTGTGCGTGCGTGCATACACGTCCCTGTGTGTCCGCGCGCCTATGTGTGCGTGCGTACGTGCGTGCGTGAGTGCGTGTTGAAACCTAGATGTGTTTACATGCCCAGCGAGATCCTTATATCTGCTCAGGAATCGATCCAAGATGTCGGAAAATAGTCGAGTACAAAAGAGCGTGAGTCAACGATAGCTCGCCTTAATTCTATTTAGTTGCACCTCTCCTAATTGTTTTCATTGGCGAAAGATTGAAGTTGAGAAGAGAGCGAGTCTGCGAAGAAGTGAGAGCGAGCGAGAGCAAAAGATAAAGAGAGCACGGGAAAAAGAGAAGAGAGAAGGAGGAGGTAAAGTGGGAGATTTGAAGTGACAAGGGAAACACGAAGATGGAGAGATAGTGAGGGGAGAGGGAAGGGGAGGGGTGGGTGACCCTTCTCTCTCTCTCTCTCTCTCTCTCTCTCTCTCTCTCTCTCTCTCTCTGCCTCGGTGTCTCTCTGTTTGTGTGTGCGTGTGTGTCTCTCTCCCTCAATCTTTCTTTTCCCCAACCTATATTTCTGTCTCTATATCTGTTTGTCGGTCTATCTTTCTGTCTGTCTTTCTGTCTGTCTTTCTGTCGTCGCTCTTTCCCTCCCTCTCTCTCTCTCTCTCTCTCTCTCTCTCTCTCTCTCTCTCGCCCTCGGTGTCGGTGTTTGTGCTGAAGGACGGAGTGTTAGGCTGGCAGCTTTGCAGCAGATTGGCTCAGTGTGTTATCTCGTGCCCGCAGGCAGGGATATGGCCGGACTACCTCCTGTAGCCCACTCACTAATGCGGGTTTGATGGCCATTACGGGGGGCGGTGGTGCAGGAGGAGGGGGCACAGGAGAAGGTGCGGCGGGAGGGAGGGAGAGGTGGGGGAGGGAGGCTGAGAAAAAGATTCACACACATATACGCACACACACACACCGTCTATCCATCCATCAATCAATCAATCAATCCATCCATCCATCCATCCGTCAGTCCAGCTATCCTTTCATCCATCCATCCATTCATCCATCCATCCATCCATTCATCCATCCATCCATCCATCCATCCATCCATCCATCCA